ATTACTCTTTTACACACTTTGCACGGAGACCCGGTGCGGTGGTACTGTTGGCGTGTACGTCAGTGGCCGTATTTGTAGTTCTTTTAAATACCATGCCTCTTTTGGTCTTTTAGTCGTAGAGAATATTGAAATTCCATCTTATCCACTGTGGATTCTGGGGAATATTGGTAGTGGCATTATTGACCGTAGATTGCATTTGAAGAACACTTAAATCTACGGTCAGCGATTGATCCCACGTCCAGCGTGGCAGCGTAGCACTCCTCATAATCCAAATAATTAAATCCAATACATAAGAAGGAAAGAACTAAATTTGATGTTTGAGAATAAACTAAATTTGCAATAACTAAATGTAATACATTTGAAATGACGATGCACGAGGAGTGATTTGGAATCTTTTTTTTTTTTTTTTTTCCATGTACTTATTATTGTAATAATGTAATCTTACAATTTAACCTTATAAAAGAATTTGAATTTCTCGAGTATATATTTTAGTTTCTTTATGTCGGAGTTATGATTTTGAAGATAGCAAAAATGAAATGACAAAAAAAAAAAAAAAAAAAAAAAAAAAAAAAAAAAAAAAAAAAAAGGAAAGGAAAAGTTGGGCCTTTAATTGACTCTTGGAAGCTTTGATGGAGCATTGTACATGTCAACTACAACAACTACACCTCGAAACCTCAAAACCACATACATATGTGCTGCCAAAACTTGCACATCTTCATGTCAAGTTGTCAACAGCTACAACACAGAGGAGAACATGCGTTGCCAAACTTGCACATCTTCATTCTTATGACCAGGAGGAGCAATCGCCTCCTCATAAGCATGAGTGTCAAAGTGTGCTCTTGAGATAGAACTTTGAAGGAAAGAATTGTGAATTGTATATGTGGTAGTGAGTGATTTTAAATTTTAAGGGTTCCTCTTCTTTATTTATTTTTTATGCAGCTCAATTGTATTAATGTTGAGAATAATGAGTGCTTGTTGGGCATAGCTCAGTTGGTTGAGCTATTCCACCTCTATTCATGTGGGCAGATGTTCGAAACCCCCAAACAAGAGCGGAGCTAAAATTGTAAAGTTTGAGGGGCTAGAATAGAAAATACAATAGTATATAAAACACTTAAATATGCAATAGTTACATGTCTAGAGCTAAATATTTCTAATTTAGTCATGTCTAGTTTGTTTTAGAGAGAATTTTAACCTAAATTATAAGTTGTTTAGTATTAGTTTTATATGTTATATATAACATAATAGTGGAGAGATAAAACATATGAAGGCCATGGCTACTCCGGGCCTAGGAGTGGATATCCACTATTGCCTCAGGCACCCAATAAATATTTGTGCAAAACCCAGCTCCCCCAATTGCTTATACTTAAACACACACACACACACACACACACAAAGTGTGTAATGAGCTTGAAATTTTATAATTTTCTTGGCATCAATTTTAGATTAACGGAGAATGACCATAGAATAAAAAAGATATAAAAGAAATTACATGAGCAATATATGACAAAGAAAATTCTACACATTCATTAAGATATATATGTAAGCAATGTCAATTATATATATCTTTGTACATATCATAATTCTGTCAATGTCTTTCGATCAATAATCCCAGGTCCAAAGATAAGTATAGACTTTTCATTTTCAAAAGGGTGAAAAAAGAATTATTCATTTCAAATTTATTGTGGAACACACAGAAAAGAGACGCAAATAAAATCATATCAACACCGAAGCTAAGAAAAAAGACATTAAATAAAATCAACATGAACACTCCAAAATATCTGCATCACTCAAACTCAAAGGCTCCCTGTCATGGCATCGATAGATTACTTGTCGTATCAAAGGGTTTTCTTAGTCATAATGGAGGAGACCGAACCTTGATGTGGTGTTATCCTTCTTTGCCCCTAATCAATTTCAAAACGCGGCAAAGTGTATTACAATTATTTCGTAATCAAATCCGGATATGAAGATATATACTGTTATTTTTGTCCCACTCTAACAAGTACCAATCAATTTGCCTTGGCTAACATGTCACTGCTTTGTGTGTTCCACAGTCCACTTCCACCACTAGTTGTTGTCAAACCCTATATTTTGCTGGAAGATTAAGGTCACCAAACCAACAGCACAGCACAATCTTTATCAGGTTGGCCGCTAAAATGATAGTAGCCACAATTTTGCAACCATGCATGCATGCATTGCTGTTGCAACAAGAGTTTCCTGGACCACGCGTTTGCTCATGCATTGCTGTTTGTATTTTGAACCTTTACACACCCCAGAAATTATTAGTATTGTCATACTCTCTCTCTCTCTCTCTCTCTCTCTCTCTCTCTCTCCCCATATTATTTTGATACAAAGCTAGCTTTCTAAATTATCTGTGGGTTGTTTTGGTAGGTTCAGTTGGACATATAATCAACCCACTTAAAGGAGCGTGGGCTAACTGTTGGAGGTCGATCCCCCGTATATACACGGGTGGAACTAGCCCAAGGGCTGTAGCCTAAGGAAGGTTTTGGGGAAAAAAATAATTAAACATATATAGCTTAATATTTTAATTATAAAAAAATAAATAATATACAATTGCACATTCTACCACACCAATAGGCATAGTCAAAGGTCTTCCACATTTGTATTTAGCGTCAAAGTTTGTCCCAAACATCAATTTTAATCCTTTTCCATTAACATATCTCCAAAAGAGAAACATTTTTATAATAAAATTCACCCTTTCGTGAATAATATGGCTCTAATTCCTTTTTTTTTTCTCGTGTTTACAACTAGTGTGATTTATATGATTTAATTTATACTTTTATTTCTAGAAAAACTATAAAAATTGTTAATAAAAAAATCATTAGATTTTAAGCTAGTAACTTTAGCTAGTCAATCAATCGAAAAATTTATGTTCCGCCCTTGCATATATATTTACACATTGGGACATTTGTGCACAAAACACAACAACGTGGACAAATTATGCACACAGTAGCTGACAAAAGAGAAACAATTTAAGCATTCAAAGGAATTCGTTCAAAAAAAAAAACATTCAAAGGAAAAACTTGCTTGCCAATGGAATGGAGCCCAATAAGTTAGATGGCATCAAACATTCAAAGGTTTCTGTTGAAGATATAACATCATTTTTCTGGCCCATCCTTTTTTTTTTTCCACAATATGTTTGGGATTGGGGAATTGAAGACTTCGTTGCGCCAAATATCTCAATTTTTAGGGTCTACTATTGTAAAAACAAGATAAACTTAGACTCTATATAAATCCTTGCTCAAAATGAACATTAAGTACAAGAAAATCAAATGTGTTCAAATAGAATTTTCAAGAAACGTATTAATAGCCTAGACTTCAAGTTATTAATAGCGTTATAATCTTAAATTATAACTCTAGATCTACTATCCACGACATATTAATAACATCACGTGACAGTATGACCGTCCTACGTACTCTCACTAATCGTAATGTAAGTGGTCTTGCCACGCCTTTTTTTTTCCCCTTAATCTCTTGTAGTAATTTTTGTATCAGGAATTTGTCCTTCCACAATACAATACTATGAAGAGAGTATATAATTTTGAAAAAGTGTAAGAAATGTCTAGATGTCATGACCAGATAACCATAGCCTTGTTTGAGATATAGAAATTTGAAGTCGGGACTTGGTCAAGCATTGCTCTGTGGACGCAGGTTTGATATCGTTTCTTCAAATCACCCTAAAACTTTTTTTCCAAAAGGGAACAGAAACAAACAGAATATTTTGCTTTTTTGATATAATTGTACAATCATGCTTTTCATATTCAACATTTTTCCACTTTTAAAAGATGATTAGACCAAGAAAATCTTTAGCAATTTCAACACTAATTTTCGAGAACATCTGAAAAGATTTTGCCAATCAATCAATCAATTTTTACCTAATCTTCGTTTGCAAAAAGATTCCCAATAATTCACATACCTCCATACCATGAACATGACGAAGAGAAGGCATGAAAGGGACGTGGAGTTTAAGTCTTTCACTTCTCTTCTCTGGTGTCGACCTATTTATTTTTCGGCTCACATGATGAAGGGATTGGCTACTCTCACCAGTAATGCCAAAACAGACCACAACCTTGAGCTAGAAAGACTTATACATGGCACCCAACTACCACCGGTATGGTCTTTTACCTCCCTTTAACCCTCGACTATCTTAAAGAAAATAAATCAGGCCCCTTGGTCATCTACTCACTACTCCATTAGTGCATTTTTCTTTTCATCGGACGGATAGGAACAGCTTCTTCTTTTTTTTCATTGTCTATCAATTTTTTTTAATTGTAAAGTGACATGATACAGTGCCAAAAGTGTTGTGATTTGAACTCAGACCCTATTTTGGAAGATTTCAAGTCTAATCTTTTCTTTTCCTGCCTATTTTCTTATTAAATATAGACTACATTTTTTTGCTTTTGGTAGAAAAGCCTAAAGTAAAATGTTTGCTTTAATTTTTCCATATCCTCACTACTTTTTAGATTAATGCGTAGACAAATGTACGTACCTTGATATATAATCTGTTCTGCTGCACGTGGGAAGAGCTATGTGTGAGGACATGTTATGTTATGTTATGTGAGTGAATGGAAATCTTTATGATGAGTTGAATGAGTTTAACTACTTGAGTTTTGAGAAAAACAGTACATATATATATATTTTATACAAATGGTATCTACTTTAATCTAATCCAAACTATGAATAGGGGGATTCGAACTCGGGTGCAGAATGAGAAAAATATCTATTCTAACCGACTTGGCTAAGTCCATGTCTGTACAGTACATATATCTTTAATTACATCTGATAAGCCCAAAAAAAAACAAACAATTTACTCAAAAGTCAAACATTTACTACTTAACTTATTGTAAAGCCAGAACCAATAAAGCATGGAAAGAAGGTAATCAAATAATAAACCCAAATCAAAATATGATGAGAATGATTGAACCACAAGAATATGTATTATTTAAGAAGATAATTAATCATTTTTGTTATGTATTAATTGTACTAGCTAGCTATAAAAAAAAATTAATCATGTTTATTAGCATATAATAGAAAATTTGCAAATATAGCTTAATTGCTCCTGTAATCATTGGGAACATGGTATAGCAATGGAAAGAAGAGACTAGGGAGTTTTTCGTAATGATGTGTTGGCCTTCTGCTGATGAGGAATAGAATTACCGATGGGATTTGGTCCTGAATGTACTTCGTGCAACACTTTCCTTTGGACATGATCGGTGGCTTCTTCAAACAATGACTGCTGTTGAGATTATGAAATCAAAAACATCATCAGGAAATAAAATAAGAGAAACATATCGTAATTCATTGATTTGTAAAGCATACGAATATATGATCACCTCACCTTGTCCTGGAAATCATCATTTGATGATGATTTTCTCACTTTATTTGTCTCCTCCACATCTAAAGCACACACATATAGACGCATATGTCAAGTAGAGATCATTAGAATCATTGTATATATTTTTTGTTTGTGTATGAGAGAGAGAGAGAGAGAGAGAGAGAGAGAGAGAGAGAGATACCTTGTAGTTTTCTTGTGGCCAAACTTGAGTAAGGTAAGAGATCATGGCAGACTAGGATTAAAAGAAAAATTGAGTAAAAGTTCATAGTGTCTCATTAGTAGCAATCATGAGAGAGAGAGAGAGAGAGAGAGAGAGAGAGAGAGAGAGAGAGAGAAGGCTTAATGCAATGAAGGGAAAAAGAAGATATCGGACAGGTAGACATGTATTTGACTACTGTCTTTTTAGTGAGGGATCGGTGTACAGTTGGGAGATGATCAAGTGCATGCAGTCATAATATAATACATCATGAGTTTGAGTTAAATGCTGGACCAAATGAATGAATTAAGTGATGAGTAATTTTTCAGTGTTCCTGTCATTTTTTACTCGTATTATAATATTTGAATTAATAACATTTTGTGACAATACCGTCTCACACACGCTTATTGTGTAAGTGGAGAGATTTTTAAATTGAATAAGAACAGTAGACATATATATGACGAAAAATGACGAATCATGTATAATTTCTTTTTTCTGGTGAATGAATTTGCCAATAGACTAGGCCTTTCGATCATGTTTGGTGAGCTCGATTGGATTGGATATATTCAATTAAAATGAACTTGAGTCCAGTTTGTTGTTTGGTGGACTTTAAGTACACAACGGACTGGATATGAATCTTAGAGTACCTCATTGTTTGAACAGCAAAAAGAGTCTTAAAATAATCAACAATGATATTTTCCATTTCTTTTTTATCATTAGCATAAGAGGCCTTCTTCGTCATCTTTGGATTGCCTTCTTCTCCTCTATCCTCTCTTCTGTTCTCTCTCCTTACTCAAACAAGCTTCAGATTTCGGGAATCTTTGTTTTTTAGTTTATTGATGATTGTTGTCTTGATTTTTTGGGTTAGATGTCGAATGATGTGTTTTTTTGTTTAAATGTTCTTTTTTTTTTTTCGTGACCTGAGATTGGAAACTAATCATTGGTTAGATCTTGATATGAGTTTGAGTTTGAGTTTTTGGTTTAATTCTTGCACAAAGTTGGGGTTTTCCTTCAATTTGAGGCAAAAAGTTAGGAATTTGCATCTTATTCTTGTTGAGAAAATAAAAAATAAAATAAAAATTTGAACTCAATTCCAGTCTGCTGTTTGATGCAAAATTAAATAGGTACTGGACTTAAAATCCAAGTCAATCCAGTCCAATGCTTCAAAACTCATCCTAGCCAGTGCAAACCAACCCACCAAAAGGGGCTTCGTGTTTTATTTTTCTGATGGAAAGGAAACTAACTGGGGCATTTGAACGATAAAGGGTAAGTGCCCAATAAACAAACAGGGACGAAATCAAAGCTGTAAAAGTAGTAAGGGGGAAGACAATTGCCACTGGGCATACTGTGGAACTCAGCAAACCCTGGCCGAGCAACTACAATGCTAATTAAAAGTGAAATTTCAGATAATAAAGCGCAGAGCTGCTTCTTGAAGCAAAAAACAATTTCAAAACAGCAATTCTTTTGTTCTATGTTCTTAGGAATAAATAATCAGCTGTAACCGTATAATACTTGGATAATGGCAAAATGGAGACAGAATATATATATCCATATTATGGAGGACTAATTCAAAGATCTGCTCTTCCAGGATATCTGGGGAATGGAATAACATCTCTAATATTGTCAATCCCGGTCGCAAAGAGAACCATTCGTTCAAAGCCTAAACCAAAACCACAATGTTTTACAGTCCCATAGCGCCGCAAGTCAAGGTACCACTCATATGGCTCAAGGGGCAGACCCATCTCCTTTATCCTGCAATAATAGATTCATCAAACAATACATTTGTCAAGTCAATATACTATATCAAACTATCCGTTACTCGATTGATGTAGAGGAGCAAAACAACTGCTATCAAAAACCTTGTGCAGAAGAGTACTCCAATGAAAATGATAACAATAATAGCAGATAAAAATCACTAAAACGGACAAAAAAGATACCATTGGGGTGATCAATCACACACTACAGTTCTCATACCTGCTCACTATAACATCATACCCGTCTTCCCTTTAGTTTCCCCCTATCAAACACCCCGCCC